CTGGGGGTTTTGTATGTCTCGAGAGTCATCTTCAAAGAAAAGACTGGCCTTTATCTCTGGTATTATAAATTATAAATGGCTTCATTGGTGGTGAGCAGCTGGAGGAGCAGAGCTCTGTGGAAGCTTCCGGATCTCCCCAGTGTGATTCTCCCTAGGCCCACTGTCTATTGACTGTCCCTCTGTGGTTGCACTCAACTCCAGAACGGTTATGTGCCTACTTTCTGCTCACCCTCGTGGCTCCAGGCCGAGTCATCAGGAGGGGTCTCTGAGCAAAAGCATATCCTTCATCGACACTGCGTTCTTGGATAGCTGTGCTGTTACAGCAAAGAGGAAAAGCACCCCTGCCTTACTTTGATTCTTTGAAAAATAATACAAATCATATGATAGACAACATGTTATGTTATGAATGTTTGTATAGTGATACGGTGTTTAATCCTCCAAGCATCCCTTTGAAATATTATTTTAGAAATATGACATTGAGGCTCAGAGATGACAAGTGACTTGTCTGAATTCATTTAGCTGTAAATGGCACTATAAGGCCTAAACTTGGGATTTTTGCCTCCTTCCTCCATGTCACAGCTGCCTCAACCTGTTATTCATTTATATGAAGATGTACTTACTTGAGTCCTGATTCTTGATATTAAATACACATTCTTGATTTTTTGCTCAATCTTCTTATTTTATGATTAGCAAAGCAAAAAACAAGTAAACAACAATGACAACAACAACAACAAAAACCCCTAAATCCTGTCTGGCTGGAACTGCAGCCTTTAATCTTTCTAAAGACAACAGGCAGGTCTGAGGCCCTCATACTAAGGTGCTGGCCAACCAGGAAGGAAGCTGGGGGAAGGAAATCTTCCTCCCAGGAGGTAATTGATTACTAACACTCTAGTTAGGTAGCACTGAGTGTGGAATCTCCATGAAAAGGAATCTGTTCTTTTCCTCCTGCTTCCAGAGGAAAGTGCACAAAGCCTTTATTCTCCCCACTCCCTTAGAATTAACCAGTTAGGGCCTCTGTGTCCATGGGGCCAGACCTGAGCATTTGTAAGTAAAATGAAGGCAGAAGGATAGCTCAGAAGAAAAACAAATGATAGGATTATCATTATTTATGTGTCCCCAAATTTAATAATCTTAAAAATCTAAGAACAACAACAAAATCATGCTAAAGAAGGGCAATAATTTCGATGCATGAAGTTTAGAAAACCAAATTCATCAGGCTTAGGGGCCAGGGGAAAGAAGGTGTAAGAGGTGAGATGTCTGGGATAAACTAGGTTCTGCTTCTGAGCCCGTGCCCCTGAACAAGACCCCGAACACCTATATTTAAGGAGGGTGTGGAACATGGCCACTCAAGTGCTGGGGCCTTCCTGGTGAGGGAAGACTATTAACCAGAATCTTCATCAGACCTTCCTCACCACTATAGGAAAACAACTGATGCTAAAAATTAAACCCCCATGGCACTAGAGAAGCAGGGAAATGAAGTCCAAATTAAAAAGAAAAGGCATGGGATCTAAGTTTAGGGTTAGGTATTTCATTGACTTTCCAAGGCAAGCATAAGCACCAGCCACATAGCAGGTACTTAATAAATGAATGGATGACAGGTGGACAAACGGATGGAAGGTCAGTCCTTCCCCAGTGGTGATGGCCCCGGGGGCAAAGAAACCTGTAGATGAGTCCTGATCCACACCAACACAGTGATGGAGGCAAAATTATAAGCCTCAGTTTCTTCCTGTGTAAAATGAAGATGATAATTCACAGGGTAATGAGGATGAAGTGAGAAAAAGCTTACTTCGGGGCCCAGCACATAGGAAGCACAGAATTTTGTGATCATATTCTCTACTCTAAAGACTTCTCTGAGGAACAAGGAGGCTCCAGATGCAAGAAGTTTGCAGGCAAGAAATCTGTTAGCCTTCCACATTTCCACTGGACTCTGCACCTTGTCTCTGAGAGTGGGACCTCTTTCTCCTGGGACCCATGATGGGCTCCCAGGGACCCAAGGGTACCAAGATGAAGCGCACAAGTTAGGTGGGCTTTATGAGGCCCGATTTCAACCTCCTTTGCACAGAAACCCAGCACAGTCTTGGCCTGTACCGCTGGGAGAAATGGACCCAGACTTGAGAACTACAGGTGGGGTTGTTCTCACTATCTACTGGGACGATAGGGAAGTAACTGAGGTCAGAGTTCGTGAAACTTTCAGTGAAGTCTGTGTGTTGACCTGGAAAGCCTCAGCTCTTTTAGAATTCCCAGGCCAGACCTGGTGACCCATTTGAATGCATTCAAGGCATTTGCACATGGAGACTTGTTGAAAATAGCTGACTTTCATACAATCCGGAAAACAAGAGATCTTTCTAGCAACCCATGGGGATGCTCCTTGTTCTAAGTGAATGATTTCTGGTTTAAGGAAGGAGAAAATTTTTTTTAAAGGATTTATTTATTTATTTATTTATTTTAGAGAGACAGAGAAAGTGTGGGGGTGGGGAGGGGCAGAGAAAGAGCCTTAAGCAGATCCCACACTGGGGTTGGATCTCAGGACCCAGAGATTACAACCTCAGCGGAAACCGAGAGTCCCATGCCTAAAAGACTGTGCCACTCAGGCACCCCCAAGGAGAAATTTCGAACATCAGATTTTTCGTGGGCCTTTCCTTCTAACAGCATTTTCCCTTCCCAGTTTAGCTAATATTGATGCAGTCTATTAGTGGGAGTGTGACTATTAGCATATAAACAAATTTTTGAAGTGTGCCTCTAAGGGAGCAATCAGAAACTAACTGCTCAGCCACAAAAAATATATACAAGTCTAAGAACGTTGAGAGTTGCCTTTTGTAAAGTAGGGTTACCATGGGGAGGGCAAATCAGTTGAGCCAGCAAGAGCTCATTGGAGGACGCTGCATTTTTTCAGTTGAGAAGCCGCCTAATCTTCCCTAACCACTCCCCGATTAAGTAGTCTCAGAAGACTTCAAAAACACGGCAAATGGAAACGTTCTGCAGCCTCCTTTGGGTTACCCAGGGCCGAATTTCCTCAGGCGGGGCAGGGGAAACGCAAATCAGCTTGGCACTGCGTATCTTTAACAAAACCCCTTGTGGGGGATGAGGCTATTGAAGGTCTCGAGGTGATTTCTCCCTAATATTTTTTGCTCTGAAAGAGTTCTCTGTAGTTCTCCGTACTTTTGTCTGCGCAAATTTCCCAGGTGGAGTCAGTCGTAGGCGTTAATAAGCCGCATTAGTGACCACCAGAGACGGAAATCGCTAATTACTAAGTCCCCTTTGATCTCCCCCAGCCGTTTGGCTCCTGACACTGGAGGTTCCGGCATCTACGCTTTCTTAGAACTGTACCAGACTAGAGTGTTCAGACGTGCGATCTGCAGTTTAACGTGTGCGCCGAGATCTGGATCAGATTTTTAAGAATTTCCACAGATTCCCCAGATTTTAAAATCCAGCGGCTGAGCTGGTGTGCGGCTGGAAGCTAACAAACGCCCACGCGCGCGGGTGTTTGATTAATTTTGGCAGCTGCGTACTTCTGCGCTTTAAATTTTGGGGGGGCAGACTGGGGAAATAAACGATTTAAACTTTGAGTGCACTGCCTGTCTCCCCTTCTCCATCGTCTGCTTTCGATTCGGTTGTGGGAAATGGAGTTTTCTTCTCTTTGCTGGAACTCTAATGTGATTCGGGATCATTTGTAAAATGAACAAAAAAGTCACCGGCAAACGGGACGACTGGGGCAGAACGCTGATGGCAGACCCGGGGTGGAAGCAAAGTCCGGGCCTCCGAGGATAATTAGGAGACTGCCTCCTCCCCGCCTGGTCTCCATGGTCCCCTTCATCTTCCAGGTAAGATGAATGGCCCTTCATCCATCATCCACAGCCAGCCGAGGATCCTCCCCTAGGCGAGCGGAGAATATGCTTTCAGAAAAAAACCTATTAGCCCCGAATTGGGCAGCTTAGTGGAGCCAACCGAGGCTCTCTATTGTGGCCTTTGTCTGCGGAATTTAAGCATTTACATAATGCACTAGCGCCGAACTTCGAGCAGGGTTGGGACACTGCGTGCGGAGCCTGGCGCGGACCTCGCGTCTACAGCTCCCTCATCCGGCTGCTCCAGGGGACCATCCTCGCGATTGCGCCTGGGTCACGCTGCAGGCGCTCTGGCAAGGAAAGCAGTGCCACATCCATACTTTGCCCACTCCGGGCGGCTGCGCTTTGAAAGCGGCAACGTCTTGTTGGGTGAAACCACGCAGGGTCCATCTGACCCTGAAGTCGGAGGAATAAACTTGATATTAATCTGGCTTTCCAGGCGGTCGTTGGGAGCTTCGCCGTTTTTCTGCTGACGGTTGAGAGCCGCGCGCTCAACGGTCACTGGTGCGTCCAAGCACAGAGGCGCCTTGGGTTCCAATCGCCAGAGCGCCGGACCTGGACTCGCGGGTCTCTAGGCGACCCGCGCGCCAGCTGAGCGCAAAAAGGATTCAGGGCATGTAAAAGGGAGGACGAAGACCCGCGGCGCGTGGGACTAGGTCTCAGGGGAATTTAGGAAGGAATCCGCAGGCTTTGGAGAGGCGCACGCTTCGCAAAGGAAATGCAAACACTTTAGGAAGCCGAGGTCTCTGGGTATCCAACTCTTTAGAGGGAGGTGGTTCGGTTCAGAAATCTCGCCAGAGGGGACTTTTCCACCGAAAACTTTCTCGAAGTGCCCAGAATACGCCCAATCCAGGCAGGTGCAGAAACTTTTGCCCTGCAGTGCCTCCGCCACTGCTCTAAACGGCCGCTTAGAGGATGCAAGGGGTTGGGTCGCGAGCGCTAAGGGGGAACCTGCATCTGGAATCGGGTCTCCAGGAAGAAGACCGCACCCAGGGGGCCCGCCAGCCCCCTTCCAAAGAACCCGCGCGCCCCTCGCAGCGAGCTGCGCTGGTAGCCTGGGCCCAATCAGCGCTGTCTTAGGGACTGTGACGGCGTTCGGCCCCGCCCCCTTGACTGGGATAAAAGGCTTCAGAGAAGGCTTCATTCAGCCCAGAGCTCCGCGTGCTGCCCTGCGCCCCGGCACGGCCCCCAGGTGGGTTTCGTGGATTGTTGCTCTCAGCGCCGGTCCCACTGTCCCCGCGGTCTGCCGCGATCAGATTCTCATTCTTCTCAGTCCCCAGGGCAGGGCGGCCAAGCCAGTCTCCAGGATTCTCTCCTTTCCTTTTCGCTCCCCCTTAAAGGCAGCTGCAGTACTCCGCGCACTGGGCCTTCGGCCTGCAGGTGAGCAGCAGCGCAGCGCCCCAGTCCGGCGAGCTCACTTACCCCGGCCCGTGCGCGACCGGCTGCGGTACCCCCCCGCCCCAACGCTGCCTTTCCCCTGCAGGATGAAGAACCCGATGCTGGAGGCGCTGTCCCAATTGCTGGAGAAGCTGCTCCTCATCTCCAACTTTAAGCTCTTCAGTTCGGGCACCCCGGCCGAAGACAAGGCGAGGAATAATTTCTATGAGATCAGCTCTTTCCTCCGCGGCGACGTGCTGGAAGTGCCCCGGACCCACCTGACCCACTACGGCATCTACCTGGGCGACAACCGTGTTGCCCACATGATGCCCGACATCCTGTTGGCCCTGACCAACGATAAGGGGCTCACGCAGAAGGTGGTCTCCAATAAGCGTCTTATCCTGGGCGTCATTGGCAGAGTAGCCAGCATCCGCGTGGACACAGTGGAGGACTTCGCCTACGGAGCCGACATCCTGGTCAATCACCTGGACAAGTCCCTCAAGAAGAAGGCGCTGCTCAACGAAGAGGTGGCGCAGAGGGCCGAGAAGCTGCTGGGCATGACTCCCTACAGCCTACTTTGGAACAACTGTGAGCACTTCGTAACCTACTGCAGATTTGGCACCCCGATCAGCCCCCAGGCGGACAAGGTACACGTGTGACTCGCCCGTGGGTTTGGTGGGGACCCCTTTCCCATCTCTAACTTTTTTCTATGCTCTGGGATCAGGGATTGAGTTCTAGAATGAGTAACGGTCTCTGGTGTTCCTGAAGGAGGCCAAGTAAATAAATAGCGTTGTCCCTTGCAAGGTAACCTCAAAATGCGCGGTTAAAGAGTGTGGAAATACGGTCCCGCTGCCAGCGATTCCAAATCTACGCAGTTATTGTTGCAGAGGTCCTCAGGGTGTCCACCCAGCTTCGTGGAAATGACAAAAGGGCAGGTGGAGATGGGGGGGTTGAGAGAAAATCTGTCGTTGTGTGCTTGCAAATTTTCCCAAGAATTGCAATCGAAGAAAGGCGTTCATCGTTTGTATTTTATCTATAACCCTGTGTACAAATTGTTGTGCCTTTAAAATTAAGGAAACATGCAGGTTTCTCCGTCTGTAAACTGCACAGTGAATTCCATTTGTTTAATATAAACTATCATAATTCCCAGTAGGAAGACCTCCCTGGTAGATCCCTTATTCTTGTGTCTGGCTTCAGAGAAGTTATTTCCTTGGTATTCTGAATTCTTTTCCTTGAAGGCTTTAATCCCCATCTAGACTTCCTCATTGTTAGGCATCCTTCAACCCTTAGCTCCAAAGGTGGGATTGTTTATGGGTTCCTCAAAGGTCAAAACAATTAGTTTTCAAGAAGATCCATTCAATGTTGTAATTTTTATGGGCACTTAAAAATAAAACCAGTATTAGCATTGACGGTGATTAAATTACTCACAAATCCAAAGGGGTGGGGGGAATGGATTTTTTATTTCCTTTTGAAACCTCTTAACTTAAAGATAGTTGACTTTCTAATCCTGCAACTGCTTTTTACAATTAGATGCTTTCTCAGTCTTTGCTGTAGTTGTTAAAGAGGTTATTGTTAATGTTCACTCTTAAGTGAAACCTGGGCCATCACCTAATGAGCTTCACATTTTAGCCTTCATGTTTAGATACTTTGTGGACCAAAAGAATGAGTCCATGCAACTGATTTTGTATTGCCCCACATCTTGATGAATTTTTTGACCATATGGAAAAATCTTTCTCTCGTCTGTGGCAGAACATACAAATTCTATGCTTTTTATACATTGGTTTATGAAACTCCTTATAGAGCTACACCAGACTCAAGCTAGGAATTCTTTTCTAAGTAAAATAAAAATATAGTTAGAGCAGTGTGCAATGATTTAAGAATCACAGCCCCAGTCCAGGCCTGATTAGAAATGAACTTCACTACATTTGCAAACACTGGCTCCAAAAGTGTACAAAAGGAAACACTCCAGATTTACTTAGGAACCAAGCAAATTATTTCTCTAAGGAAAAACAGTATTTCTATCCAGTAATTAGGAGTTACCCTTTCATGGAACACATATAGCACTGTATTCTATATTTTGACCCCCGGCCCCCCCAAAAGTGCTTTTTTTGAGGTAGTAAAATATTTAGTCTGCATAAATAACTAGCTGGAGTAGTTTTTCATCTTTGGAAACTTTGTAAGGTTTTACAGAAGTAAAGAAGTGTTTTAATTGCTGTTGCTTCATAGCACCTCTTGTGAAACTGAGTTTTTGTCTCCACTTTGAATGGTGTAACAAACAATTTGGCCAGAGTAGATTTCCTGGGGAAAAAAAAAAAATCCCATCCTAAATTTTCCAATTCTAAGAACTGTTTTTTTGAACATGCCTTGAGAGAAGTAGGTCATTAATACTGAAGGAGGACTGGTTTCTTCTTTTCAGAGATGTAAGGGATTACTTGATGCAGGATCTGATTGCTGGGTTCTCCATCTATGTAGACAACTGTAAGCATAACACTGAGAGTTGCAAGTTGTCTCTTAGTTAAATGTGAGTTTATAAACACTCTGAAGAGCACTTTCCCTCATGAAAGCACTGCAACTAATTGGAAAATAAATTAGAAGAAAACATTTTGCTTTTTTGTAGCGTGAAGCTCTTTTTAACAAGTTTAGAAATCATAAAATTAACGGAGTTTTATATTACTATTAACAATTTCAGTGTTTTGTAAACTATAAAGCCCTTTAATTACTATTGCTATGCTTTATGCTTTTTCAACTCTTCTTCTTTTTTTTTAATTGCTGGTAATGCTTTTTATTGTTAAAAAATTAACGCAAATACCCCCTTTTAATTTCTGGGGTTTCAGTGCTCAGAAAGTGCCCTTACAGGCTTCTTAACACCTTCTAGCAATGCAGAACATTTCCTCCTGTTGAGCACCACTAGACTAGAGATGCATTCTGAGCTAATGGCCAAGTGAACAAGAACAGGACATTAGAAATAAGACACTCCTTGAGAAAAATCTGCTTTTGGGGAAAGGAGTCCACAATGATTCCCTGTTTTCCTTAATTAACAATTATTGGGGAAAAAGACAAAAGGACATAACTGTATGGAGACAGCTTACTCATTTACCTAAATGCATATCTTCCCATTATTTGCCAAGCACTTTTCCCATTGTCCTGAAAACTTCATTTAGTTTGATCCTCACCACTTTAAGATTGTATATTTGGGGTCAGCAGAAAGAGACAAATCATCTGTTTGACATGTAAGAAAAACAGCATCTGGATAACTAACAGGAAGTTTCGTATTTGTCTAGAAGTTGTATGGATAGAGACAACCCTACAGTCAAGGTAGTGCATTAAAATATATTGGGCTTGTATACTCTGTCCATTAAGAACTTAGAAACCTAGCTGTCCAGGACTGTATAGGACACCCTCAAAGCATATACAATGTCATGTCTAGAAAAGGAGCTTAAAACTAGTACGAGTAGTGAAAGTCACACATAAAAGCAGTTCACTGATAAATTTTGCCCAGACAGTGATGAGGTAGAGATAATTGTCAACAGATGTAGCAGTAATAATAACCACCATAATGCCTTACATTTATGCTGCATGTAGAAGAATACAGAGTACTTTTGCATTAAAGATCTCATTTGATCCTCACAACAACCTCCTTATTCCCATGGAGAAGAGGGTAGTCTGGACAAGTTAAATGATTTACATGAGATTTACTGGAGCTAACAAGAGTTGAGCCAGGACTCAAACATAAGCCATCTCTTCTGAGTGCATTAAGTTTTTAAAGAAAAACAATTTCACATATTAGAAGAATGCTTTCCTCAGAGGCATTTATCTCTGGCAGCCAATTTTATGTCACATAATTGATTGAATTTAATTTACTCAGGGAATGGGATATGACAAAAAAAATTAGACTTTCTATGCCTTTAGATTTTGAGACTTATGAAGAACATTTTCACTGGTATCAAATTTTCAAATGTGAGTTGTAGGAATTGAATTCACCAATAATAATAAGCTAAATTTTATCACTCAAGATTAGAGACTCCTATGCTTATGTAATTTTAGAATGTTATTGTTATTGAAAAGCAGTTTAAAGTTTTAATCTTTAATCCTGAATAACTTTTATATGGTTACATTCTCTGTAGTTTTCTATAAAAATTCTGTATTTAGAAATTGTCATTATGAACCTCGTTGCCTAAAGCATCATTTCAGTCATTTATGGGATGTGGAACCAAGAAACTGAATTACTCACATCTTAAATTCTTTCCAAGGTCATTAAGAGAAATTCTAGTTTTTCTGTTAGACAGAAAACTAGGTGAAAAAATTATGCTTTACTATTTGGTATAGGTAATTCTTCTTAGGTTCAGCCCCTTTTCTAATATTCTTAAATCTTATTTTCTAGTTCTGTGAGAATGTGAAGATAATTATCCGTGATCAGAGAAGTGTTCTCGCTTCGGCGGTCTTGGGATTGGCATCTATATTCTGTCTGGGCTTGGTATCGTATACTACCCTTCCTGCAATTTTTATCCCATTCTTCTTATGGATGGCTGGCTAACTTCATATCCCCGTGTCAGTGTGTGTATTCTGTGTGTAAATATGTTTATATTTATAGAGCACAAGTCAGTATATGCATCATCCAGAAAAATGTGACCTGTAACACCGTGTTCTGGATAAAAATGTGACTAAGAATCATGCAAAGTGCTTACTGTGTAAGCCCAAGAACAAAGGCTTTCTCAATCTTCTCAGGCAGTTCCATTTTAAAGCCCTGTGCAGATCTTGGAAACGTGGCAACTTGTGATAGAATTCACCCTTCCAAGGGAACCAGCCAGTAAGATGATGGCCACAGGAGATTATTTTTTCTCCTGTAATCATGGTTTTCCGTTAGGCCTGAATTTGAAGATTAGAAGACTTATTGAATGAGCCCACTAACTTCATTGTAAATTTATTCTGTTTCATTGAAAACCTTACATTAAACTAAAAGAATTTCCCTTGTTCAGATGAAAACATGTTTGATGATGGTTAAAACAAACAAACAAACAAAAAAAAACCATAATCCTTTTTTTTCATGCATTATATATAATTCCCAATAAGTCAAAAGTATTTTCATTACTTGAAACCGTGTTGGAGTTTAATGATAAAGTAACTTACTAGAACTATAGAAACCTATGTTTTCCTGCAGAAATAAGCTAGTATAGCATCAGTTGAACAATTTGATTTGGATTTACTTACCCAGAAGCTTGGCATTTGTTATTTTTTTTCCTTTTATGTGTCACTGTGGTGACATTAAACCACTCTGAGAGGTAAAAGGATATAGGATTGAAGTAATTTGGATACTTAGAGAGTGTACGTGCCAATTAAATATGCAAATGTCCACACATACACAGACTGATGAGAGACAAACGTTCTTGATTGCTTTATAATACAGTGTGGTTACCAGAGAGCATTTGTAGAAGTGATGTAAAAACAAGTTTAGTCTGTTTCCTTATGACCTTGCATCCACAGTATAACTTTCATATATGTCATTGGATGGTTTACCTTTTAAAGCACTTACTAATGTACTGTATAATTTTTAAAAGTCCTCAGATTTGTCTTCTAACAGATTTATTCATTTCATTGCAAAGTATAGTTTCCATCCTTAAAAGAAGGATGCCACAAGGAAATTACTGTTAGAAGTAATTTCTGAGTGTCTTAGTGCCTCCAGGTGTGTAAATCAATTACACTGAGGCTGTCTTAATATCACGGTTGAGATGTAGCACTGTTAAAGCCAGCATTCAAATACTTTGTAGAATTACCAAATTATAAAAACTAGGCCACAAGCTAGACTTGCATTTCAAGTATTAAAATTGCTTTATAAGCTATCAAGAATCACAAGATAATGAGTCACATAATGAGTGATATGGGGAAGTTGAGTCGGTTACTCAGTGATCTAATCAGAACAAATTTAAGAGCAGATTTTAGTGTAACTGTTGTTTTACTACCACTAATTTACAACAAATTCAGTTGGAGTTTAATAATAATTAAACTTTGGGGCACCTGGGTGGCTCAGTGGGTTAAGCCTCTGCCTCCGGGTCAGGTCATGATCTCAGGGTCCTGGGATCGAGTTCCGCATTGGGCTCTCTGCTCGGTGGGGAGCCTGCTTCCCCCTCTCTCTCTGCCTGCCTCTCTGCCTACTTGTGATTTCTCTCTCTGTCAAATAAATTTAAAAAAATAAATAAATAAATAAACTTTGTGTTTAATCACTTAAAATGTCTTAAATAGTCAAAACACGAAATGGCAACACCACAGAATAAAGGTTATCTGGGCCTATTCCAACCACTTAAATTTATCTTAAGTATGTGTACATGAAAGCAACCACTATGAGAACTCCATTGTATTAGTGGTTTTTCCCTTACTGTATATTATCTTTGTAGCAACTGTTTAAATAAATTGATTTTTTAAACATATGGTGTCCTCCTAAATAAATGCTTTTTTACAGACTTCAGTATGTCAGGTAGCAAAAACCATTGCCTGATGTTAAATCTGTGTTCACAGATAATAATCCCTTATTAAATGCTAAGGGAAGTATTAAGGTTAGAATTAACATAATTAGTCTTACTTCATATCCTTAAAGTAAGATCCAATTCTTCATTCATTTTAGTGCTCGTTATATGCCAGGTACTGACCTGTTGTAATTTCAGGGTCTAGAATTAATATTACTTTTGAACTACCCATATCAGAGTGTATACAGTGCTCTGGGAATAACAGAAGAAGAAGGATTTAAATCTCTCTGAAGTTCAGAGAAATCAGAAGTAGGCAATGCTAGCATTAGGCTGAGAAGTAGTATGAGGTGATTGATTTTATCACACTGATGTGTTCTGCTATTTACAGGAAGAGGAAACTGGAAAGAAGAGTTTATCCAGTACTCCACAACACTAGAATCTGTTGAACTTAGGACAAAGGAAAGTTTTGTTGTGCTCAGTTTGATGAGTTGCTTAACAAGGTAGAAGAAGCACAGATCCCTGATTTGTGGTTGTGGAAGAAACTGAGCCATTCCTGTGTCTCTGATGAATGTCTCTGGGTTTCATTACTTAAGATTCATCCTTAGGATTCTGCAAATCCCTTACAGTTCTAAATTTCCCTTCTAACTTGTGAAATGGTAAGTAGTGTCTAAGGCAGCTTTTTGGTGCTTGTTTTGTTGCCATATGTAGATGAAGGCCAAAGAACTAGCTGGGGCCAAGATGAAATAATGTCTCCAGTACTAGGCAGGTAATAGGAATGAAAAGAAGCAGATGTGGACCTCAAAGTTTAGGGCCTCATTGACATAGAAGCAGTAAGACTGCAATAGAGCTGGTTTAAAGAACAGAAAATGACCTGGTTAGTTTTAACCTATAGGGCCAAAATTATAGGGACTGTGTACTGGGACTTGGAAACATGGGATGTTTTCCAAGGGGAGAGATTTGGGTAGGACATTCTACGTTATCAGGAACAGTATGAGCGAATGCAGGAAAACTACCCATTCCTTAGCACCCAAGTGGGAGGCACTCAACTGTTCATTGATTGAAGCATGGAACTGCATGGGGCAGTCAGGCATAGGCAAGTGGTTCACAGGCTAGCGTGGAGAAAGGCTGATGAGGAGAGGTGTTGGAAAAAGAGAGCAAAGATCAGGTGGGTACAAGTTTTGTGCGGACCAAGAAGTTTGGATTTTATGAACAGGCACTGGAGGTTTGAGTTCAGCAAGGTAACTCCCAAAAGTATAGAGGAAGGAGGGAGCATGGGGCAAGACAGGACAAAGGGCTCTCTTAGGAGACTAGTTATGGTCCCTAATCTCTCAAATCAGGGCCTGTAATTGTGAGGGTGGGGAGCAAACATGTCAAGAAACTGTCAGCAGAGGAGCCAAATCCTTCTATTTGACTCATGAGTAACTGTTTGTGGAGTGTCAGGGAGGAGTCATGCATCCCTTCCTGCCAAAAACTCTGTTCCTGAAATAGAACTTCATGTGGTAACTGTATATATTTTGGATATTCCAGAACTTTATTCTGCTAGTTCTGTGTCTTTGCAAGGACAAGCAAAGAAGTACAGATTTGTTGTTTAATTTTTTTTTTCAGAATAGAGATATATTTCTTATTTTTCCATTTCTATTTCATACTACTGCTGTCAAATATAAAATAAAGGAGTTTTCCAGTGATAACACAATTATGCCAATGGCAAAGTTTTGTGATAGATGAGAAGCATATAAGAAATGATGATTGCCAATATTGTGTTTTATATAATCTGTTTAGAGAATTTTATCTAACCTAGATCTGTTAGCTCAACTAGTTTTCTATTTGGTTTATATGTGTATGAAATAAAATCAATTTTATATGCTGTCCTCTCTTGTCTTTGAATTTGATACACATAAATGTTTTTCTGAGCATGGTAGCCTGAGAATTTTGTCTTTCAAGGCTTCCTTTACTGAACATAGTTGGCTTTACATATTTGAAATTAAAACTATGGGGATCTGCTTTCAGATTGATATGATTTATGTTATCCACATCTGGAAGCCGACCTTGATTATGTAGAAAAAGTTTCTGTGTAATAATAAATAACAATTCTCTCCATTCCACAAAGCCAAGCAGCAACAGCACAAAGAGCCATGCGCATGAACTCAGTCACCAGATATTTAACCCTACCAGTGTGGCTGCCATTTTCCTCTGGCTGAGTGGAGCAGGGGTATGAGTAGGACGAAATCCCAGGGTCAGTCTTGAGATACATCTACTGTATTGTAAAGAACCACAGAGGTTGCTGAGCCAAACCCTTAAACATCTAACCACATTTCAGACATGGAAAATCAGGCACAGAAGTTGAGATACTTTGCGATTACACAAATAACCAGAGGCAGATCCACAATTTGACTCCAGCTTTCTTTCCTCTATATGACCTTGGATTCCTGAGGTCTCCCATAAATTCGACAAGCTTTCGTCTAATGAATGTATTAATTTCTTGCAGACCTTTTGTCTACTCCAAGCAGGGCCACAAAAGAATGAACTAGTTGGAATCTTAGTCCTATAGTTGCTCAGTCTCATGAGAAAGATTGGCAAGTAAACAGATTTCAAAACAATAAGTTTGTGTGAGTATCAGAAGGGCAGATGCAAAACGTATACCTGTCTGCTTGGGGCAAGTAAAGGAGAGAGATGGTGAAACAAGTTTTCAATATCTTCATTGAGTTGTAAAGAGTACAAACATTCTAAGTGAAAGAGATCTCCTTTCTCCAGGCCATTACAGGCACCTGGAGAAGTACATGGAAAGGCACAGAGTCATGAGAAAACAAAGCACAGTTGGATTACTGCTAGTCCCTAAGAACAATTACCTGTGTTTATATTGTTGTCTGAGAGCAATGTACCCATACTCTTCGGCCATTCCTTTGAGGAGGACAACTCTAGACTCAGGTGCTGTTAGAGACAAGAGGCAAGATCATGGAGAACTTGACACTATGAAAGTCTGAAGTGGAAAGAAAGCATTTCCTAAACTTTCCAAATACCTCAGGTGAGCCTTATGAGCATCCTGTTTTGTCAAACACATGATCAGATGGGATATGGTTGTTAGGAAAAGAAATGTAAAGTTTATGGGTGGAAATTTATTTAACTTATTCAAGGAGAAATGGGAGCTATAGGAATCAAAGGATGAATGGGCACATCACCCCAATCCGCTCACACTTGCTCCCATGATCCAACAACAACCCTGGTGCCATCCTTCTCTTGATTCTAGATTCCGTCCCAGATACTTCATTCCACTGAGCTTGTAACTGCTAATCTTACTGCTATCCACCTACTGTTCCTAACCCTCAGAGTATCAT